TGGAACTGGTTTCACTAACGTCGGTTAACGCTTAGTCCTATTAACTAAATTTGCTGTCTCTATGCTATAGATGAAGAACATAATCTAGAAAAAAATAGCAAACCGCTAATTCAATGTTGATTGACACAAATTATTCAGCAAAAGGAAGATGAAATCGACAAGATGGAATCGCTCTATCACAGGAATTCTCATTCTATTTCACAGCATGTCAAATTTGAATCAATATCGAGGAAAGTAAATCTTATTTGAGATTCAAGTCATGCCATTTTAAAGTTATATTCGACGTCATATCGTGTCCTGGTTATCCCTTTTAAAGATAAAATTTTGTTATCATTATAGCTTAAAAGAAAGAAGATATCTTGGATACGTTGTTTATTCCAAACACTGTAAATAAGTCACAATACGTTGGATTTATTTTCTCCTGCGCTCTTTGAAAAAAAAGCGCTCCAATATCTATTGCATGTAACCTCATACGAATTCTTACATATATAATACATACCGAAACAATATGTGGAGAAGTGTATTCCAACAACGGCATAGTACTACAAGTTTAGATAGTAATGCACATAAAATCTTCACAGATGGAGAAAGACGGTCAGCGTTAGAATTTAGCAAAATAAAATTCAGTAACACACAATTCTTACTATTTTTCATTACAAGATCTTGCAAGATATTGTAACGAAAAATAGTAAAAATAGTCATATGACAAACTACAAAATTACTATTAAACAACTCCAGTTTTGGTTGCCCTGATTGCTATCGATACAAGATATAAACATAAGATTTATGTTTCTTGTTAACCTGAGATGCGAAATTTTTAACGGAAGACGAGTCATATGTCTTCCTCATCCTCCTCCTACTTCCCCATGGATTCAATTGTTACAGTCCACTGCTTTTTCCTATTACAGGAAAGCGTTATCAACGATATAGGAAAGCGTTATCAACATAAGCTCTGTTCTAATATATTATGAGCTCACAATGTATGATTTCAGTCTCTAATTCTTTTCGCTTATTATGTCCGCGTTAATCACATTCTTTCTTTCTTCGTGTTTCCTCACTATCCTTCCCCCCCCCTTCTCTCTCTCTCTCTCTCTCTCTCTCACTCTCACTCTCGTTCATAATAAATTTCTCTCATACTTTTGAATCCGGCAATATCAATAATTGCATAAATTACCGCAATGAATAACACATAAATAAATAAATTATAAATCAAAAGATAGAAAGAAAAAAATCAGAGAGAAGAGTTGGTGTAATTATTATACATGTTTTTGAAGATTCATTCTTAGGCCTTACACGCACAAGAAGAGAAATGCACGACAAAAACTTTCAAGATCAAAATTTATAATAAAAATGTAGAATTAAATGCAAAATAATTATATAAAAATTTAAATATCACTTTGTGATATGTATGTATATAAAATGTTTAATAAAAAATAATATTTGTAAACAATAGGTAACTTTAAGAGGTGCGAATATGTTTATACCCTAAAAATTTATATTAAATATTAATATACATTAATTTTTCTCATATATAGTGCTTTTTAAATTGTATTGTTAATATATAATTGTATTATTAAACAATTATATTTTTTAATATCTGAAATGTCTTCGATTTTTGTAACTCGTTTAAAATGACTTTAAAATATTATGTATTGATAGTATGAGATGTATATGTTTTTTTATGAAATATAATACTATTTAATCTTAATATATCATTGTAACTTATTTATAATGAAATATATTTTTGATAAAATATATTATATTTTAGCTATAAAGAATATTCGTCGCGGTAATGCACTTTCCTTCTATGCGTGTATATTGTCCGTGACGCACATAATTTGAATTATATTTGATCGTAACAAAGATATGGAGTAACATGCGATTACAATTGAATTCTCTGACACTAACTAAAAATTGCATAGTATCTCGGATTAATTCGAAGTGAAATTCGCGCTATTTCCTGCACTACGGTAGCCTCAGAAGCTTGTATATTGTAGGAAAGTGCGCACATCATTGAAATATTATTTAGTATTAATTAAATGTAAATCAATACGTTATGAATGCCCACGCATGTATATTCAAGATTGCTTTTATCTTCCTCTCGTTGTCGTATTCGAATAATTAACTATTAAACTTAAATTTATACTCGTGCTCAAGATATATATTCGAGTTAGTTATAAAGTTAGAGAAGCGAAGTCTAAGGTAAAAGTTTCATAAAAGAATTTTTCAAAGCGCATATGATTAATCATCTTGTTAAATTTTAATACATGTATCCTATTACGCTTACTACCAGCGATGATACTTATTTTAGGCCAATCATACCGATGTCCGGAAATATTTTACAGAAGAGATTCCGAAAACTAATCGTTGTACTAGCATTTTCACAGGTTAACTATATTTTGCTTGACAATAGATATGTACTAATACCTTACAAAATGAATGAAAGAACAAGTAGGTCAAAAATCTCTTGAAAAATTTTTCTTTCGCATTTGAGGTTTACAACGCTCTTTCACTTTTTTTGTTACTAAATAGTAAAGATATATAACTTTATTTCTTTCCTTTAAATTACAATTCAGTTTTTTCTTTCGTCAAACATAATCCGTTGTTTCAATTTGTAATCTATAGAAAAATAAATATTAAATAACTAAATTATAAAACAAATGTTTTTTAGCATGTAAAAGAAATTAAAAAGTTCAAAAGGAATGTAAAGAGCCATAATGCAGGTTCGTCATGCGAAGGTTACTTTATATTTATTTAAAATTATTTACGTTACAAACGTTTCTGCCTGGCATCAGGCCTTCTTCAGTGTATAAAAATAAAAACGAAAGAATTGCTCGCAGAAATCTTAAGATTTCAACTGTTAACTTACTAACAATAAGACTAATAGTTTCTCTCTTCCACCTCGTTTCTTCTACGTGGTTGAGTTCACTGTCATCATGCAATTATTACAATCCGAACTTTCGTATTGTTTATTGAACATTTTGGTTGAAAACGAAATTTAAATACTTCTTCCACATCTCACTATGTAATTACTACGAGCGATTCTTTCGTTTTTATTTTTGTACACTAAAGAAAGCACGACGAATCTGCATTGTGACTCTTTACGCTCCTTTTGAACTTATTTAATTTTGTCAATCACTAGAACCTTTTACATTTCATCAATTATTGTAAAAGAAATTGTTTTTAGATTGTATATATTTCTTGTTGCGCGGAAACAATGTTTGATGTATGTACACACGTGAAATAATTATTTTTTACGTGCATGTTTTCAACATTATTTAAGATTTAATTGTAAAATGAATAATTAAAGATCCTCAAAAACGATTCGTCAAATAAAATAAGCATTTTACAGCGTGTTGAGAAACTTTTGTCCATTTGAAATCAATATCCCTAATTTAACAGGCTTTAAGTCAATTAATAAATATATGTCTGTTATTTTACATTTTTTCTTACAATATATCGTCTTGTGATGCAATTTGTCACATTATTCTTATCGCAAAACAACCTGTATCGAAATATTGATATACGTGATCATAAATGACTATAAGAGTTTTTAATTGTGTGAGCATGCTCGAGACAAAATCAAGGAAGTAGATTCAAAAATCACTTCGACCTTTGAAAAAATATCTCAGATTAGCAACGATTCGCATGACTTAAATGCCGTTTTATGACACATAATTACTCTTGTGACATAATTTAGTTTTACATCCTTCATAAGGATCCCACAAAATTAACAGATCGCTACATTGACGTGCATGCACGTATAATAACATATGTATATATGTACACTTGTGTATATATACGTGAGTATGTACTTATAATACATAAATGATCGACCTAGTCAAATAAAAATTTATTTTTGTAAACGGTAAATTTCTAAAGATAAAAGCTACGCATGCGTTCTCTTTTTCTTTCTTTCCTATACGGGGTGATCCACAGAAATGGATCGGATTCTAGCACTCGTTCTGTTGAAGATAAGAAAAATAGTAAAGGCAAAAGTTAAATGACATAACGTAAAAAATTTTTCTACGATTCATTTTTTTTCGAAAATGCAACAATGCACCAGAAAAATACAATTGCACTTTTTTTAAAATGGATTATATATTTAAATAAAAGTATATATTTGTTTGCATAAATAAATTCTTCTAAATAATCTGTGTATAAAAGTATTAGGGTAAAGTGCTCAAAAAATAAATACTTCACGAGATATTTGAAATTTTTGAGTGAAGTATACGCGTTATTTATGTGATGTTCAAATGTTTTATCGTGACATAACGAAGATTTTGTGATGCGTTTCTTTATGCTCTGCATTTTATCATCAAGATGATTACTATTTACATTTAAACAATTTATTTTAATCTGTTTTTTGATCATCAATGGAAACAAATGGACGCGAATATACTTTATCTTTATAATTAATATAAACTTTGATCAATTGATGCTGCTTTATACGTTCTCAAGTGTTTATATTCAAAATCCGTAATCGTAAATACAGTAAAACATTTGAATATAACCGTGAATAAATATACTCACACAAATATTTCAAATATCTCGTAAAATATTGATTTTCCAAGCACCTTGCCCTAATACTTTTACATACAGATTATTCAGAAAAATCTATTCAAAATAAAAAAATATATAATTTCATTTAAAAAGAGTGCAATTGCAACTTTTTTAGTGCACCGTTGCACTTACGAAAAAATTAGTCGATAGAAAAAATTTTTCATGTATGCCATTTAACTATTACTTCTACTATTTTTTCTATCTTCAATAGACCAAGTATTAGAAACCGGCCCAGTTCCATGGACTACCTTTTGTGTGTGTGTGTGTGTG